GGTCTGACCCCAAAGTCGGATTCTCCATTCTCCTCCTGGGATGCCTGTGTCCCAGGAGAAGAGGCAGTCCTCTCCAGGGTGCCTTTTGTCTCCAGGACAGGGACAGGGACAGGGACAGGGACAGCTCTCCTAAGCTGGGCAAGAAGCCACCCCCGCCCCACCAACACACACACTCTGGCCTGGCCCCACCCCAAGGCACCAGAGATCCGGGAGAGAGTAGTACAGTGAGGGCAGCCGGATGCCACTAGGTTGGCCTCCGGCCCATCCCCTGCAGGCTCCTGGGAGTGGGGCTGGCCCTTGTCCCCATGATTAGAACCTTCCCACCTCTCCCAGATGTCCTGTTCTTCGTCTGATTGCATTTTAAGGCTGTTTTATTTGACCTTCAAAAAGGAAGACCAGCCTCTAGAGCTATCCTTGTCCCAGGACCCAAGAGTCCTCCTGATGGCCAGAGTCCTACGCTGTGCATTATCAAGCAGACCCAACCCCACTCACATTGGAAGTCATTGTCTTGGACACTTAGAGTCATGATGTTTTCCCAGAAGGTGGCAACAAGTGTCTTGAAGGAGAGGGCGTTTTGTGCTAATGCACACAGTCTTCTTTTGGGCTTGTCGCCTTTGGGGCTGATCCCACCTGGCCAGCTCCAAGCTTCAGGGTCCTGACTTTGCCGGGGAATCCCCGCACAGTGCCTCTTGCTTACTTACTGTGAGGCGGGAGAGGCTCTGAAAGGGAGGGTTTGGGTTGCCAGCCAGAGTCCTGGTCCCTTGAAGTGTTCATGTTAGAATGTGACAGTGGAAAGTGCTGTCAAAAACTCTCCAGCGCTAGACAAACGGGAGATAGTCATCTAACAGCCAACAAATGTTTATTGTTGTATTATTCCTTTATTTCTGGCAAGTACAAACAACTCACTTGGCATCTCTACCTGAGTGTCCGCCAAGCAAGGCCACTGTTCCTGTTCCTGTGAATCTTCCCCTTCTGTGTGTGTGTGTGTGTGTGTGTGTGTGTGTGTGTGTTGGGGGGTGGGTCCTGTGGTCGCGCAGTCTCCACCTAGGTGTCTCAGATTGAAATCGCTTAAAAAACTGCCCTGGCTCTCCAGCTGGCTGGCTCAGCCTCCACTCTTAAATTTGTCCCGTTCCACCTCCCCGCCCCCCAGCCCGAGGAGTCCCAGTGTCCTTTCCTCACCCTGCCCTGTCCCACTCTCTCAGGCCTGGTCACCCCCTTGGTCCTCCACCTGTCAGTGCCTTCTGCACCCAGAGCTTGGACAGGAAATGGAAAATTCCCAGCTCCCTCCTGCTCCCTTCCTGGCTCCAGGGCCTCCTCCAAGGGTCACCTTGAATGGAGTGCTCATTCCCCCCACAGGGAAGCGAGCTGGAGCCGACAGTCAGGAGAAAGGGCTCGACAAGGGAGCACAAGAGTGGGGGGTGCTGCGTGTTGAGACCACCCACTCTGAGAGGGGCAAAGCTGGGGGGCTTCAGGGCAGGATGGATGCTGCAGCACGGGGAGGCCTGGGTGTAGAGCTGGCCCCAGGGCCAAGGGAGAAGCTGAAGAGGGATGTTTCTTGAGGCTTGGGATGAGCCAAGAGCCTGAGACCTGGGTGGTGACAAGAGGGAGACTTGGGGGGTAGGGCAAGCCAGAAAGGCTCGCGGAGGCCCTTGGCTTCGGAACATAAGACATGCTTGAGGGATCCCCAGGCTGGCCCTGGGAACCGTTCCGCCAGGCCTGAGTCGACCTCTGCTGGCCATTTCACAAACTGCAGCCAGACCTGCTCTCCCCTGTCCTTGCTCCCAAGGATGAGCAGCCCCAGCTCCAGTTCCCGATGTCCCACCTCCAGCCTCATCTTCCCACCTCTCCTCAAGCCTCTGTTCCCTCCAAGACCCCAGACTGCAGACCCGAGACCCAGGTTCCACACCCATAGCCTGTGCTTGTCTTTCAGTGCTGTTTTCGTTGCCCTGGTGACCTTTCCATTTCTCTTCTCCGTGACCGTGGGTGGGGTGGGGAGGAAGACCTTCTCTGGCCAGGCCCCAGTGCTCACCCACGATGTGGGCTTTGCATCTGGGATGGGGGTGTGGGTTGCTGACAGTCCAAGGAAGATCACAAGTATGTCAGAAATGCCCGCCATCCCAGCTGAGTGCAGCTGAGAGCTTGAGGGAGGCCAGTATTGTCCCAGAGGGGTGGATGGGGTGAAGTTCAGGTAGGTCTCCCCAGGCCAGGCTGTCCCTCACCCTTCACACCCCTCCGTGACCCAGGCCTCTGGCCCCAGAGCCCCTCCCCTGACCCAGCCCACCAGCTGACTTCCCTCAGCCTGCCCCTTTCCCTCTGCTCTGGGATTGGTGCCAGGGTGAGAAGGGGACACTGGCACTGACCACGTCTGGGAATTCCCGCCCACCGTGGAGTCGGTGGGAGGGGGTCCCCGTGTCCCCGAGGAGCCAATAGCAGCCAGGCTTTGCCCTGGGGGGCGGTGTATATCTTTCAGACAAGCACCCCCTAGGCACTCTCTCCTCTCTGCCTGCCTGGCACCAGCCAGACCTCGCTCTGCCCCGGGGGGCTTTGAGCCCCCCAGGCAGTCCTTCTGATACAGCCCTCTCCCTTTGGAGGGGGCCTAAAGCCCTTTTCCTTGGGGATGGCCCAGCCAGGCATCTCTGTCAAGTCCCTGGTGTCATCTTATGAGACCCGAGTGGTGGGGATGGCTCCAGGGCCGCCCCGGAAAAGGGGCTGTGTCTCCTCTCCTTGCTCCCCTCGGGGAGCATCCCCCATCCGGGGGGCATCTGCACCCCCACCCCACCGGGGCTTGGGGGGGCCTGGGCAGCGGCCCTCACCCCGCCGGGGGATGGACAAAACCCTCCTCTCCCTGATTCTCTACTGTCACAGGTACAGGCAGGGGTGTGGGCGGGAGGCTGCAGTGAGTGGGGTTTGTGCAGGAGGCCGGAGCCTGCTCGGAGAAGCACCTGGAAGGCGGCCGGCTGGGGTGTCCAGACACCTGTCTTGGCCCCCACTCTCCCTCCTCACCTCTCAACTCCCTGTGTCTCTCCAGCGGCTCCGGAAGCCTGGTTGGCATTGACAACAAGATCGAACAAGCCATGGTAAGAGAAGCCATCTTGGTTCCAGGAGGTTCCGGCTCCTGTCCTACTGCCCCACCCCTGCTGTTCTCATTAAGGAGGACTAACTTCTAGCTCCTCAGCGTGCTCCCAGCTGGGTTCCCTCCTGTGTCCACCTAAACTCCTGCTCTCCCTTGGCCCCTGGCCCTGTCCCCATCTCTGTCTTCAGGCCCTGACCTTGTCTCTGTCCAGCATCCTTGTACCCCACAAACCCCCACCCCCCCCCACCTCTTCCCTGCTTTGCTTCTTCTCTAGTGGTCCATCACTTGGGAGCAGGGGCATCGGTCACACCCAGGCCCTTGAGGCATGGGGCAGGGATAGGGTTGGGGTAGCCTGGGGCCCCTGACTGTCTGTCTGTCCCCGGGTTCCCAGGACTTGGTGAAGTCCCACCTCATGTTTGCGGTCCGGGAGGAGGTGGAGGTCCTGAAGGAGCAGATCCGCGACCTGGCCGAGCGGAATGCCGCGCTGGAGCAGGAGAACGGGCTGCTGCGTGCCCTGGCCAGCCCTGAGCAGCTGGCCCAGCTGCCCTCCTCGGGAGTCCCACGGCTTGGGCCCCCTGCACCCAACGGGCCCTCCGTCTGAGCCTCCCTTCCCTCACAATGTGCCTTTGGGGGCTCCCACAGCTGCCAGGCCTTGTGCCAGCTGCCTGCCTGCCCCCTCTTCCTATGCAGCTTTAATTAATGCCTCCTGATCCCTGGGGATGGGAGTTGAAGGCTCAGAATTGGCCTGTCCCCCCCCCCCCAATCTCCCCCTGGTGCCCAGGGACTGGGCTGTGGCATCCCCAGGCCTTGGAGGAGGAGGGAGGGCTTCGGGATGGGGTGTTAGATGGAGCCGCCCTCCTCCCTCCCGAGGTGTCCGTGTTCTGGGGCCCCTGGCAGTAGGGGACTGGGGGAGTTGGGAGTCTCCCTGGCAGACACCCCATCCCCACCTTGTTCCCTCAGAGTACCCCCTCTCCTCGGCCCAGGGGAGGGAGTGTGGACAGTCTGCAAGTTCTGGGATTCAGGTTGTTATTAAAATAATAATTATAATTAAAAAATCCGAAGAAACTTGAATCTGGAGGTTGGCATCTTGTTGCTTGTGTCCAGATGGGCCCTGCAGTGGTTTTTCCACTTATGGGGGAAAGACGGAGGCTGTGGGCTCCCTTGGAGAGCTTCTCCAATCTGGGGGTGTTGAATGTGGCTTAGAGTGGTCAGAGGAGTTGGGGGTGGTGTGCCAAGGGCCCAAAGGGAGTCAGTGGCCTGGGTCCTGGGAAGGGGCAGACAGGCCGGGGGGGTGGGGGCGTCAGCCCACGTGCTGGTGGGGGGGGAAGGGAAACAATGAGGCCTTTGGTGATTGTGAAGGATCCACCTCCAGCTTCCCAGTGTGTCCCCTCTGCGGGTTGGATCCCGGTGGTGGCTTGGGGGCGGGGCTGGGGGCCCTGAATGGGCCCCTTGTCTCAGCGCTGGGTGTGGGCCAGGCTCCTCTGGGCACACAGTGCCCTCGCCAGGCCTAGCCGGCCTCCGTGGCTTCCACCCTCCTCTGGCTGGGGACCGGCCTTGTGGGTGAGGGGGACCCCTCCCTGACAGCCTAGGCTGGGCTCCTGCCACAGGCAGCAGAGGCAGGTAGGGAGAAGGACCCCATCTAGTGGGGAAGGGGGGAAAGCAGCAGCCTCTGTCTCGGAGCAGCTTGGCCCCAGACTAAAGGGGACCCACGTGGCCAGTGGGATACTGGAGGCCGCCCCAGGTTGGACTTTCCACCCTATAGCTCCCTAGGTTGATGACCTTGGGCAGGTTTTTTGTGTTTTCTGCATCTCCCATTTCCTCTTGGGTAAAATACCTACCGGAGGGCTGCAGGGGTGATGACGTGACATCATATGTGGGGACTGTCCAGTGAATATCGGGTGCTTGGCAAATGTTGATTTCACTTCCCTGAACCTGCGGTAAGGCAGGCTGAGGGCGCAGGGATTGGCTCCGGGGGTCCTGGAAGGGCCTCGGGGGTTGGGGTCAGGGCCAGGCAGGCTCTCACAATGGGCTAGAACTCTGCCTTCCTCTGAGTTCTCATCCACTTTGACTCCTCTCCCTGTCTCAGGGAGGGGAGGTAGGACTTAGGATGAGTTGTCAGTGAAAGCTTTCCCCCTGGATTCTCTATTTCTTTCTTCTCGGCTGTGCCTGAAGCCCCCAAGAGACCCCTCAGGTGGTGGCCACTGGCCTGCAGCCTGTTCCCTTCCACCCTTGGTACCACGTGCTTGTCCTGCCCCCTACTTGGTGCTCGTGTATTGGGAGAAATGGCTGCGGTAATGAGGTTCTTCCGATGGATTTGGCGAAAGATTACTCGCTGGGTGAGTTTCAGAGAGTCCCCCTTCCTCGCGCCATGCTGGGGTGGGAGGCACTGGGCCGTGATCTCTAGGTCACAGAAACCCATTTGGGGAGGAGGTGGGGGACACTCGTGGCCTCTTTCCATCTGTGATTGCCTCTCTGCCAATTGTTGTGCCGCCCCCCTTCTCTCCTCTCCCTGTCCTGGGTCTTAGGTTTTCTTCTGGAAACACAAAGCTAAGTCCACCGTCTTGGAACACTCTGACTCCCAGAAAAGTGTAGTGAAGGTGGAGAAGACTCCCAAAGTGACTGACAGGTTCAAGTTGGTTGAGCCTTGCGAGGAGGCTAAGGTCTCTAAGACCGGGGAGACCCCCAAGGCAGCCGATGTCTTCACGGTGGTCAAATCAGCGGATCACGCCGAGGTGGAGCAGAAACGTGGGGGCAGATCCCTTCTGCAGCTGCCCCGGACAGCTGTCAAGTCCGTCTCCACACTCATGGTCTCGGCCCTGCAGAGCGGCTGGCAGATGTGCAGCTGGAAGGTCGGTTGGCACCATATTCCTCTGGTTCCCAGCGGGCCTCCCACCCTCCCTGATCCCCATGACTCCTTCCCCCCTCCAGCCGTTTGGTGGACATTGGTTTTGTGTGCCTGCCAGGCACTGAGGTGGGCAACCAGGGGTACAGGGTGAACAAGGTTTACCCCGACTAAGGGAGCTACAGGCAAGGTCACAGGCGTTGTTGGTTCAGTGTGTTAGGGCGTGTGACACAGGAGGTCAGGGGTCTGTGGGAGCCCAGAGGAGGAGCATCTCATTCAGACTCAGGGAGTCAAGGAAGACCTTCCTTAGCAGAAGAAGGGGGTGAAGCTGAGATCTGAAGGTTTTGGCCCCATCTTGGGGTGGAGTGGGGGAGGGAGTGATGGAGTGCATTCCGTGAAGACAGGTGGGCTGGGGTGGGGGTCTGGCCCAACGGGATGGGTTTGGGCAGTCCTGGGGCCAAGGACCAGCTTGTACAAGGCAGAGTGGTTGGCCATCTGTGGAGTCTGGATTTGACCCTGAGAGCGATGGGAGCCCTTGTAGACATTTGAACAGAAGAGTGTATCTCAGCTTCTCAGATCTGAATTTAGAAAGCTTGCCTGCTCTCAGGTTGTGGTGTGGCCACCCTGGAAACATTTTGGTAGTTTCTTTTCTTTGCCTTTTTTTTGAAGATTTTATTTATTTATTTATTTTTAAGATTTTATTTGTTTATTTATTTGTCAGAGGGCATGCGCAAGCAGGCAGAGTGGCAGGCAGAGGCAGAGAGAGAAGCAGGCTCCCCACCGAGCAAGGAGCCCGATGCGGGACTTGATCCCAGGACCCTGGAATCATGACCTGAGCCGAAGGCAGTGGCTTAACTGACAGCCACCCAAGCGTCCCTGTTTTTTGTTTGTTTGTTTGTTTGTTTTTGTTTTTTTTTAAGATTTAAAAAATTTGTTTATTTGAGAGCAAGCAAGAGAGAGAGGGAGCACAGAAAGAGAGGGAGAAGCAGATTCCCTGCTGAGCAGAGAGCCCGACACGGGGCTTGATCTCAGGACCCTGACACCATGACCTGAGCCAAAGGCAGACGCTTAAACAGCTGAGCCACCCAGGCATCCCAGTTTGGTAATTTCTTCTAACACTAAACCTGCGGTCATCATGTGTCAAGCAGTCATACTCTTTGCATTTATCCTAGATAAAAGAAACTTTATGTTCACACAAAATCTCCATGTGAATGTTCAGAGCAGCTTTATTTGTAATAGCCGAAACCAACCCAAATGTCCTTCAGTGGGTGAATGGTTAAACTGTTGTCTCCATACCATGGAATACTTGTCCGCCATAAAAAGAAACAGATTATTGATGCGCCCAAGAACTTAGATGACTCTCAGGAGTTATGCGGAGTGAAAAAACCAATCCCCAAAAGTTATATGTAGGGACACCTGGGTGGCTCAGTGGGTTAAAGCCTCTGCCTTCGGCTCAGGTCACGATCTCAGGGTCCTGGGATTGAGCCCCGCATCGGGCTCTCTGCTTGGCAGGGAGCCTGCTTCCCCCCCTATATGTACTGTATGATTGTGTTTATATTCTATACCACTCTTGAAATAACAAAATTATAGAAATGGAGACTTGATGAATGATTATGTGGTTGCCAGAGACTAAGGGTTGGGGGGTTGGCAGGTAGGTTGGTTGTAAAAGGGCAACATGATGAATTCTTTTTTTTTTTTTTTTTAAGATTTATTTATTTGACAGAGATCACAAGTAGGCAGAGAGGCAGTCAGAGAGAGGGGGATACAGGCTCCCCACTGAGCAGAGAGCCCGATGCGGGGCTCGATCCCAGGACCCTGAGACCGTGACCTGAGCTGAAGGCAGAGGCTTAACCCACTGAGCCACCCAGGTGCCCCAACATGATAAATTCTTGAGTTGATGGAAATGTTCTGTGGCAGTGGATGATATGAACCTGTGTTTGTGAGATAGAATTGGGTAGAATTTAATACACCCACAACTGAGTATAAGCAAAGGGGGAAATGTGGATAAGATCCACGGATTGTGTCAATGTCAGTATCCTGACGGTGATACCGTACTAGAGTTTTGCAAGATTTGACTATTGGGGGAGTTTGGGTGAAGAACACAGAAGGAATCTAGTATTTCACAATTTTATCAGAATACAAGTCTCTCAAAGTCAGAAATGTAATTTTAAAAGGGAAGTGTCTGGATGACTACCAAGCCAACTTATTTTGGCCTTGAATGAAGTATTACAGCATTAATAATAAAGTTCACTTGGCACCCTGTGATGGGTGGGTCAGAAGAGGACAAGAGGAGGGGCGCCTGGGTGGCTCAGTGGTTTAAGCCTCTGCCTTAGGCTCGGGTTGTGATCTCAGGGTCCTGGGATTGGGCCCCGCATCGGGCTCTCTGCTCGGCGGGGAACCTGCTTCCCCCTCTCTCTCTCTCTCTGCCTGCCTCTCTGCCTACTTGTGATCTCTGTCAAATAAAATCTTGAAAAGATAAAAAAAGAAAAAAGAAAAAGAAAAGGACAAGAGGAGAGGCAGGGTATTTAAGAGGTAGAATTGTTGTACCATCTGGTTGATTGGATGACGGTGAAGAAGGAGGGAGAGACAGAAGTCAGCGGGCTGGAGGCAGTCACTGGGATGGAGAATGAAGGAGCCAGAGCAGACGTAGGGGAATAAGTGATGAGTTGAGGGCATTGGGGCAAGATGAGCTGAGATGTCAGTGGGACATTTGCATGGAAATATCTAGAAGGCAGCGGCATATACAGGCCTGGAGGTGAGGAGGGGGCTCTGGACTGGAGTTGGAGGTCGGGGACCATTCTGTCCTTCTTTTTTTTTTTTTTTTAAGATTTATTTCTTTGAGAGAGAGCACAAGCCGGGGTGCACAGCAAGGGGAGAGAGACAAACCGACTCTCTGCTGAGCAGGGAGCCCCACATGGAGCTTGATCCCAGAACCGTGGGATCATGACCTGAGCTGAAGACTTAACAGACTGAGCCACCCAAGTGCCCCAACCCGCCTTTCATTTTAACACAATCTCCATGAAACCCTAGTGAGGACTCAAAGATGGGTGAGACATGGTGTCTGTCTTTCAGGAGCTCGAATTCTAGTGTTGAAAACAAACCGGTCTGCAGAACAAAGAGTGTATGACATGCCAGATTTTGAGGGAAACCCAAGGGTAGAGACAAAGAACACTTAATGCAACCTGGGAAGGCTTCCTGGAAGAGGCGGTGCCTGAGCTAGGCCTAATGGGAGGAGGTAGCACTAGACAAGTGGTTGCTGTTCATCACCAGCGGTTTCTCCCTAGACAAAGCTATTGACATGTGCACATCTTCTCTCTTTCTCTCATAGTCCTCTGTGAGCTCTACCTCCATTTCCTCCCAGATGAGGTCTGGGTCTGCTCTGGAGACGCCGGAGGCTGAGATGCTGCGGGAAGTCTACCTGGTGCTGTGGGCCATCCGGAAACAGCTGCGACAGCTGGCCCGTAGGCAGGAGAGGCGGAGGCGGCGCCACATCCGGGCCCACAGTGTCCCCCAACCTGAGGCAGTTCAGGGCCTGAAACAGGATGCCCGGAGTCCCCTCTAGGGGGGGACCCTACATCCTCCAAAAAGCCCCCACCTCACTGTTAGGTAAGATTGATAGGAGAGGTTAGGGCAGCGGGCTGGGAGTTGTGGGTGAGGAGAAGTTTTCATACTGTCACCTCTCATCGGGACCCCAAGTCCAGGCCTGGGGTCCCACTTATTCCCCTTCATTCCATTTATTCAATTTGTAAAAAAAAAAAAAAAGAAAAAAGAAAGTTATCAAAATATTGGGAAATAAATATCAAATATTTCTGAGTAAATGTAGAGTGTGTTTGTGGATGGCCAGAGGCAAAGAGGGGAACTCGGAGGTGCCCAGCGGGGCTCCTCAGGGGCTGGCCCAAATATGTGTGGGAGTAACTTGGGGGTTTGGGGGGGGGTGGATCCCCATGTCCAGGCCCTGGGCCCAAACCCACTTCCAGGGGACTGATTGCCTTTGGCAGCTCTGCCAGGCCAGCAACTCCGGGCACCTGTCGCAGCAGCATGGCAATCCTACCAAGACAGGTGTTTTGCACAGGTTGAGGGACCCGCCCAGGACCCTGGAGCAGATGAGACCTGCTGGAAACTGCCCGCTCCGGCAGCCAGCCCCCTGCCCCGGCCCCTCTGGCGCTCTGGGGCTCCCTCCTAGCGAGGTCAGTGGGTCTGATCACGCGGCAGCAGCTGGACACTCATCGGTACGGAAGGCTCGCAGGCCCTACTGGCCGGGCACCCTCCGAGAGCGGCCGAAAACTACAACTCCCAGGATTCCGGGAGGCAGCGGGGGCGGGGGCGGGGACGCCGGGGAGGCAGGCAGCGGGGCAGCGGCAGCGCGTTTGCGCCGGAGGGCCTAGCGTCCTGCTGCCGGTGAGGGTGTCAGCCTGGTTCCCGGGGATTGGGGAGGGGGAGGGGAGGTGCTCGGCAGGAGGCCGTGGCGTTTTGGAGGAGGTTGGGGGGGCGGGAGGCAACACAGGAGAGGTCGTGGAGCCGCAGGTCCCCTCTCGGACTTAGAGTGCCCTCTCGCCCGGCCACACGAAGACGCAGAGGTGGCTCCCCAAGGAAAAGCAGGGATATTTCACAAAGATTGCCAAATTAGGGTGTTCTCGGAGCTTGGGGTGTGTGGCGGGGAAGGTGGAAGGGATGCCGGCAGAGGCCCCGGAGAAGGGGGAGAGGGGGAGGAGGAGGGACGTTGCGGCTGGCTGTGCTGCTGGGTCTTGCTGAGCAGGTGGGGGGCGTGAGCAAAGCTGGGGTAGTGAGGAGCAAAGGGGACGAATTGGTGGGAGCACCCAATTCCCTAGAAAAGTCAGCAAGTGCTCTCCTCTCCCCAGGACCCCTCCCCACCCTCCACTGCCCCTTTGCTGGGAATTCGGGTTTGCCTTTCCCAAAAGTCTGGAAACTGCACCAGGCTGCCCAGCCCCGTAGCAGAGCCCTGAACCTACCGCACCTCAACCTTGCCAGCCACAGGAGTACCAGCCGCCACTTACCGAGCTCCTATTGTGACTCCTTTTAGGTCTCGTTCTAAGTAATTCTCACAACAGCTTTCATTTTTGGGGAGGAGAAAACCAAGGGACAGAAAGGTCGTGTTTAATAAGTCATGCGGCTTTCACTGATGCAACTGATGAGTCTAGCTTACGCCGGACGTGCAACATACATGTTACACGTACACACACATACACCTCACAGTGCAGGTCTTCAGTACATGAAATGGCTTTTCTGGGACTGTGTCTTGGTTTAGCATGAAGTCAAAGCCTGTGTTCACACGGAGCCTCAAAACAGGCTGATACACGTGGCTCATTTCTGGGGCTTTCAGTCAACCAATTATTCCTCACCTTTCCCTGTGTGCCAAACCATTCTGGGGCCCAATGGCATTGGTGCAGGGTCTGTGTGCTCCGGGTGCCCAGAGGCTGGAAGGTGCTTCACTGTGTGAAATTCAAGATCAGCCCCTCCAAGTCCTTAGAGACAGGCTCCTCTACCTGAAGGTTTCAGTGAGAGGATGGTGGGATAGGGTGAAGGGTGGCCCGGAGGGTCACGGGTAAGGAGCCTTGCAAGTAGCTACAGGCCTGGGAGCCAACCCAGGCGTGAGGCTGTGGGCTTGTGGGCATTTTTCTTTGGCTTCTTCAGCATCTTGGGAGTGGGAGGGGAGGAAAGGAAGAAGGTGAGTTCAGCCAGCAGCCAAGGGAGCTGTTGGCACCTCCCACCCCTCTCTCCCTCCCCAGACATGATGGAGTTCTGTCCGGGCTTGGCCAAGCAGGGGAATGGAGACTTGTGGGAGAGAAGGGGCCAGGATGGAAGAGAAGTCTGCAGAACTTGCTTTTCCTAGATGTCTCAGTGTACACAGGTAGCCTCCTGCCTCCCCATCCTAGTAATCCAGCCCATAACCCTGGAGAAGGCCTGTGGTGGGCCTTGGGGAGGAACTTTCCTTTTGGGAGGGAAGCCTAAGGGATCTCCTGGGGTAGTGATGTGCAGGGAAGGATGCTTACCCCTGTCATACCCCTGCTGAAACCTTCCCGTAGTTTTCCATCCCTCTTGGAAAAAAATCCATACTGTCCCGTTTGTCTAAAATGCCCTTCTCTCAGATCTTGGCACCTGGGCTCCTTGCCAGTGTGGATTGTGTACAAATGTCACCACGTCTTCCAAACCCTTTCCCTGATGACCTTAGAGATCAGGAGTGACCCGCTGTCTTGGCCATCCTCTGTCTCTCATCGTGCTTTATCTTCGGTTAGTACTTAACAGGATTGGAAATTTTATCTACGTGTTGGCCAGTATACTTGGGAGGCAGCAGTGCCATGTAGTAGTGAAGAACACGGGAAGTGATTTGAACAGGCACTTTCTGGATGTGTAACCTTGGGTAAATCGGCTAACCTCTCTGGGCCTTGGTTTTCTCATCTGTAAAATGGGGAAAGTGGGAAGTAGTACCTGTATCGCAGGGCTGTCATGCGGATGAAGGAAATGATGCTTAGCACAAGACAAGGAGTCAGAAATGTTAGCTGCCGTGATGATGGTAATGGTTACGATTTGCAGTGTATGGCTGCTGTCCCCGTGGCCTAAAACAGTACAGAATAAAAGAAAACAAATGTGCCTTCAGCTCCCCTCAACCCTGCTTCCTAACAGCCCAGAGTTGCCACAAAGAGAGTTGACCCAGGTAAACATTCTTGGTTTAAACCTTTGAACCCAGAAACAAAGTCTCAGCCCTGGACACCGGGTCTTCTCTTGACCCGCGTTGCTCCCTCCTCTTCGGCCCCATCTGCTCTGGTATCTGAGCGCTGGGTGTGTGTGGGGGGAAGCCAGCCCCTCCTGAGCCCAACGGGGGGCTGGCCCCGGGCATGGAGGCTTTGGCCTCCGTTATTCTTGGCCGCCCAGACAGGGTGTGCGCACGGCCGTGTGTGCACAGACACGCGCCTGTATGTCCTGTGGCTGTCTGTGGCTATATTTTGACTTGTTCCCGTTTCCCCCCTCAGGAGTGGCAAGACCAAGATTAACTGGAGGGAAAGACTGTGTACGTTGCAGGGCTGGTAATGCTGTCTGCGGGAGCTGCCTGTCTGCTCCTTGGGTCATTCTGGGGTACTGGGCAGACAGCCTATTAAGATTTCCAAGGTGGAGGGTACCTGGGTGGCTCAGTGGGTTAAGCCTCTGCCTTTGGCTTGGGTCATAATCTCGGGGTCCTGGGAAGGAGCCTCATATCGGGCTCTCTGCTGGGTGGGGAGCCTGCCTGCCTCTCTGCCTACTTGTGATCTCTCTCTGTCAAATAAATTAATAAAATCTTTTTTAAAAAGATCTCCAGTGGGGAAATGGACCAAAGGTAGAGATTGCCTCTTCCCTTCTCCGTCCTTTTTGTTTCTAGAGCTGAGCCCACCTGCCCCGCACCTGTCTGCCCACCTCCCTGGGGGCTGCTCGGGTCTGTGTCCCTGTGATCGCTGCGGCATGGCCTTCTGCCCGTTTCCCTTTCCCTCAGTGCCTCCTGGGGATGAGTGGCCGTAGACAGGCAGGTTTTGCAAGACAGGCTTGGTGTTTTGTGCTGAAGGAGGAGTGCACAACTGAGGTGTGGCAGCGGCTGGCTCAGGCTCGGGCAGAGGAGGCCCTGAGAATCCTGGTCCCAGGGGTGCATAGCACCCTTCGATCGCTGGCTTTCTCTCTCCACCTCCGAGTTTAAGACCCAGCTGTTTTTTCTTTATTGTTTATATGCTCTGCCAGTTTTTCAACTAGTTTATGGGTCTTTTCTATAGGCCCGCAGAGTTCAATACAGAGCGTAAGAGCCTGCCCTCTGGAGCCAGACTACCAGGTTTTGAGTCCTGGCTCTACCACTTACTAGCTCTATGGCCTTGGGCAAGTTGCTTAACCCCTCTGGGCCTCAGTTACCTTAGTTGCAAAACGGAGGTAATGCGGGGATGTTGGGAGGATTGAATGCATTAATGCACAGAAAAATGCACAGAAAAAACTTAGAACAGGACTTGCCATGGATTGGGTGCTGTAGACATGCTTATTTTTATTATTATTTCTTAGTGATATCTAGAAGCTCTTTATATAGCAAGAGGGTTAACCCTTTCTGGGATACGAGTTGCAGATTTTTTTTTTAAGATTTTATTTATTTATTTATTTATTTTAAAAAAGATTTTATTTATTTATTTGACAGAGAGATCACAAGTAGGCAGAGAGGCAGGCAGAGAGAGGGGGAAGCAGACTCCCTGCGGGGCAGAGAGCCTGATGCGGGGCTCAATCCCAGGACCCTGGGATCATGACCTGAGCCGAAGGCATAAGCTTTAACCCACTAAGCCACCCAGACGCCCCACGAGTTGCAGATGTTTTAACAGTCCTCTTTTTTTTTTTTTTCTTCTAACGTTTTATTCTGGAACAATGTGGATTCGCATGCAATCATCAGAAATAATATCCAGTTTTCCCATGTAGAAGGGAAGTCTTTACAAAAAATATTTGGCATATATACTTCATTTTAAAAAATTCATTCATTATCGAGGTGAGCTCTTCTGGTAATTGTCTTTCTCTGACTTTTTTTTTTTTAAAGATGTTATTTATTCGTTTATTTATTTGATAGAGATCACAAGCCGGCAGAGAGGGAGTCAGAGAAGGGGGGGAAGCAGGCTCCCTGCTTCCAATGCAGGGCTTGATCCCAGGACCCTGAGATCATGACCTGAGCCGAAGGCAGAGGCTTAACCCGCTGAGCCACCCAGGCGCCCCTCTCTGATTTATTTCACTTAACATGATGCCCTCCAGTTCCATCCAGGTGGTCACA